GAACAAACTTATGCTAAGGCATAGCAAAGTTTTTCAATAACACTAAATCCTAATGGGTATAGATCTATCTCATGCTAAGGAATAACAAATCCATATATGATTAAAACTTTTAAGCATAAAAAAGGGAAAAAGCCACTCTTTTGAGGCCATATCGGCCCGGTTCAAGAGTCGAAGGGCCATTACATTGTCAAGCTCGAGGACCCGCCCTTGCTTAACCAAAACCTAAGGGTTTTTTCTACTCCAAGTTCGAGCAAGTACTCACTCTACTATAGAAACTATAATAATCCGATTTCAACAAAATTTTCACAAGGTAACGAAGTGAGTCAAATTTCTCACAAGACCTAAAGTATATCAGAAGTATCATATTGTGAAAGCAAAACAAACTTTTCACGAAATAGCAATCATAGACAAATCGGAAAGAAAAAGGTTCTTTCATATATGCAAAAACATTTACAAAGACCACTTACGATCTTTCAACAAAATCCAAAATTGAAGAAAAAAATTCTAAGTGCCTAATCTTCCCCGGGAGCTTCATCTTCATCTTCTCCGCTCTCGGATTTGCTTGCACTCTCGGAGTCATCATCGTCAAAGAGCAAAGCTTCGGCTTCGGCCTCTAACACTTTCTCATTCTCGATATCGGCCGTGAGGTCAAATATGCGAGCATGAATCTCTTCGAGACTGGCACTTAGAAGGATAATCAAACCTGAGCGACATCAAAATTTCCTTTGCTCGAGCATTAGCGGCTTCAGTATTGGCTCGATAGATGGCCACGACCGCCTCTGCGTTGGCCTTTACTTTTTCCAGTACAGTTGCGGCCTTTGCAAGCTTAGCGGCCAACCGATTCTCGAGCTCTTCAATTTTTTTGGCTCTGGCAAAGCTCTCCTCCTTCATGCTTTGGAGTTGACGCTCAACTGAAGACAACTGGGCTCTAGCCGTATCTTTCTCCGAGGCGAGGAGGTCCATGTTCTGCTTCTACCCCAAAGTCTCTGCTTCTTTCACCTCATCCTCCTTGTGAAGCTGCTCAATATTTTTGGCCTTCTGATGAACCTATAGGATCTAAGTGTTAGTTGCCAATATCAAACTGATATGTCAAGCTCCTAAAAATTTATGTTACTTGCTCGATGAGATCGATATGCTCTTTATGAGCTCTTGCCAATTCAACTCGGAGGTCCCTGATCTCCTCTTCTTTTTGCACATAGAGGAGTTTGAGGGCGTATCTCCCCTCCGTGAGCCTTTTTAAATTAGCCTCACACCGGTTCAGCTAAGCTCAGGATTTGGAAAAAGCTTCCCGATAGAGCGTCACATCCTATGGAGAAAGGAAGGAAATCAGACAAAAGGAAATAAAAGCAAACGTAAACCTAATAATGGGGGCTGAAATCTACCTAGTTTAGGAGTCGATGAGCCTCATCGAAAATCATTGATGCATCCAGGTCGGAAACATCATCGACCCCCATGAAGCAACCACAAAATATGTCATCCCTTTCGTAGGTTGTTCCCACTTTGGGGGTCTCCACAGACTGAGCCTCCCGAAATTGCCCTCCAGAAAATGTGGGGCCGGGTGGTGAATCATCAATATTGATTGCCCCAAGCAAGTCACTTGGGTCACTCTCTCCTTTTCGGAGGGCTGGGTCACTCTCTCCTTTTCAGAAGGCCTCGGAATCGAACCCTTCAGGCATACCCGCTGATTGTCCATCACGGCAGACATGCACACTTACCAGTTGTTTGTCATGGTGGGAGACATCTTCAGCCCCTAATGATTTGGGGACTTTTCTCGGACCATATTCCGATATCTCCTTGGTCCGAAGATGAGCCTCCTCGACCATCACCAGCTCAGCTGCTTTTGAAGCTTCAGCACTTTCGCTCTTTCGAGCCACCAGCTCACAGTCAGCATCTTCCCGCTCATCTTCTTCATCTCGTAGTTTTTTGGTTACGTGATCAGGCAGAGAGGCAGAGTCATTCTTCGACTTACGATCCTTGCTCTTCTTAGGCTTTGGAGTATCAAAAGGTGAGGCCCTTCTCCTCTTCTTATCCTTAGTCGGTTTCGGGGCCTCCTCTTCCCCAGGTGGGGGAGGCCTCATGATAGCTTTGTCTCCAAGACCTATATGGGAGGAAATCAAGTAAAAATAAAAAAGAAGCATTTCACAGGAAGGCATCGAACTTAGACAGAGAAGGTAACCGTGATTTTTGTCCTCCCATTGGCCATCGACCAGATCGCGCCACGAGCGCTCAACTTACAAAGAAGTCGAGCCTAGTTTTCGAATCTATTCTACATGGTTCGGGATCGCACCGGGCACCCAAAAGACCGCTACATCATAAGAAAGAATGTTGATGAGAAAAGGTAAAGGAAGAAAAACAATCAACAGAAGCTATTGGTGGTTTTGTACTTTCGCTTCATGTTCCATTCTTCAGGGAATGACATCTTCTCGTCCGGGATTATGTCAGAAGTCCTTACTTGGACAAACCGGCCCATCCATCCTCGATCTTTGTCCTCGTCTATGCTCGAGAACAACACCTTTGGGGCCCGATGCTGAAGCCTTACTAATCCGCCTCGATAAAGACAGGGACTGTATAATCTAATAAGATGATCGAGGGTGAAAGACATCCCTTCGACCTTGCTCATGAAAAATCAGAGCAAAATAACGATGCGCCAAAAAGAGGGGTGGATTTGGCCTAGGGTTATGTGGTATTAGCGGCATAAGTCTATTATAATGGGATCGATGGGACGCAACGTGAAAGGGTAAGTGTATACACTTAAAAACCCCTTTCACATGAGTGGTAATAACCTCCTTGGGGGTACGGATTACCACCTCTGTGTTTTTCCAATGGCAGTCTTTTTTCACCTGCTCGAGATCGCCTTCGATTATCGAGCATATATATCTTGACATGGGCTCACATCGGCTATAGACCGTAGAGGGGTTTTCAACTCTGAAATCAGAGGTAAGGTCGCATGGCCCGGGAACGCACTCTTCGATGCGTGGCTCCACCGACGTTTTATCACCAGCCGACTGCGATGAGGAGGCTTTGTCCTTTTGGGGAGCGGTTTTAGATATTTTTTCCATTTCTATGTAAGTTCAGAAAAAAGAAGAAGATGAAGTTTGTTGTTTTAGGAGAGGATTGGCAAACAAGATGTAAATAATTTGCAGAATTGAGGAACTTGAAGGAAGGAGAGCTTTGAAGATTAAGAAAAGTTTTGAAAATAAAGTTTGAGAAAATTATGAAGAGGATCTATTTATAATATTGCTTTGACGGTTTGAAAACACTAGTGGCCGACCATTAACTGGCACTAATTGATGGTCTTGGGAACTATGTAGGCATAACGCTTCAGTCGCTTACGTCACGAGGGTGGCATCGCAATTGGTTGATGTACAAAATCAAAGATTCAATTCGTTTCTTCTCATTACACTCAAAGAAACGAGGGGACTATCTGTATACGGGTATAATCGGGCTTGCCCAGTTTTGCCATTATTTAGCGATCGGAGAACTGCATCGAAGGTCAGCCTCGTAATGGATTAGGCCTGAGCATGAAGGCAAGATACCGAGTTTGGAGATCCATCGAGATCGAAGTCCTTGACGACCGAGACCAAATATGATCAGCTTCGAGCGGAACGCAATAACGGAAAGACAAAATATCCGTAACTTGTTGGAGATCACGGCGAAAATCTCGGAACGAATCAAGGCAAGGGCGGTTGTTTGTATCAATCATGGGATTTACTTCCGTAATTAGAATTGTACCATAATTAGGATTCCTTTAGTATATAAAGAGGGGTTCCCATCATTTGAAAACACCTTACATTCATACAGATCAAGGCAATATAATATTTCTCTATTGTTCATCAACTTATTATTCTCTAACTGTTCTTACTTTATTACTCTCGAGGGTTCATCAGCTCGAGGGCATTGTCCATGCACCGGTTTGTTTTATATTCTTGTTAATTCACATCATTTATCTCTAAGTTAATCAATTGGTATTAAGTGAAATCACATTACATATCCTTAAAACTACATTACAAGTTTAATTGTTACTCGATTTTTAAGGTAAACACATTTGCATTAGTATTATCATATATAGTCACTATTAAGTAAACAAGAATTTGCGACGGGCAAGTTTTGTAGCTAAACAAAAAAATTTGTCATTAATCTTATTTAACGACGGATTAACAATAAATTATCAATAACTTTTGTTAGCTACGAGCGATTAATGACAGATTAGCGACCAAATTCATAGTTAATTCCACTTTATTTTTCTTTAGAAGTAAATATTTTATGCAGTATCTTCTTAAGGATAGGAATCTATTCTAGCTAGATTGATCTTCATTGGAATCTATTTACCCCTTAAAACAAATAACAATTAAATTTGTATGTGATTTAAATGATACATGGTTTAATTTAATACAAATGATCAAAAAGCAACAAGTAATTAAATTAAAATGTAACGAAACGATCAAACCGAATTGACGTAGTAATTAAACCTTGAATTCAACTTAAGTGCCAAGGGCTAGTCTCGATTGAGCCTTCGAGATAGAGTTCCGATTCACATAAACGGATGAACAACCGAAGAATAATTAAACAATTGTTAAAACCAAACCAAATTTTATTACTTTGATATGCGTGTTAACAATGTCAAAAAATTTGGACCCACATGCCCATATTTCTCCTTTTTTATACATTTATGAAAATTTCTTTGTATCAACAATAAGCTACCAGTGCGGGTACCTAGAATCGAACTAAGTTTCCTAAATTGCATCCCTTTTGTAGACAACAATTATCTAAATTCACATGATTTGGTAGGAACCTTAAATATTCCCCATCCTTAGTCCAACTTTAAGAAAATCAATAGTCAACTCTCTAATTTGACAAAGAGATGCAATTATGAGAATAGCAACAATTACCAGTCACATCTCGAAATTAATAATTTCTCACATGGTTCTCAAGCTCTATTTTAATAATAACAAGTAATTATTGAACCTTTCAACAATTAATCTCCTATAAAGTTTATTTTAATCCGTGGGAAACAATAGCTTATAAGAAAGAAAAGATGGCTAACTTCATCGCAAATACAAAGAACATGGTTCAACATCTGTTTGAATACCTAGTTTCATGTGGAAAATCTTCTGAAGGTAAGTAATTTTCTTGGTTGTAATCATATTTTCACATCATTTTAGAAAAACAATGTGATAAAGTAATTTTATAGATATTTTCAATTTTGTTTGTACGAATTCATATAGCTGACTCTAACTTGTTTAAAACTGAGACGTAATTGTTATTGTTCTATAATTTTGTCAGATCCGCGAGACGAAACACCGATATCGAAAATAGATGAACCCGGAAATGCACAAGGACAAGGACGGGTGGTTGTACTTGAACCACCAAATCCAGAATGGGTGGTAATTGAAGAAGAACAAGAAAATGCACAAGAACAAGGGCTGGTTCAAGAAGATGAACAAGAAAATGAACAAGAAGAAGGGTTTCCTGATACAATAGCAAGAAAATCAAGAGCTCCGGGCAAACCACGGCCACCTGGTCCTGGGACTGGTTGAACTCTAATACAAGTCTTGGAAATTCTATTGATGTTCATATGAAGAAACCAGTTGGCATGGTTGTACACGCTTAATTTAAACTTCTCATTTCTGCCTAATTACGTTGCCTTATTGTTGTTGTTATTATAAAATATGTAGGGTAATAATAGGTTATCAGTTGGGTTTTGTTAAATACTTTGTGTATATATTTTGTATCAACCTCTCTACCTTCAATGTGGGAATAACGTTTCCAGATCCCACTCGTGGAATTAAACTGGGTGTATTGTTATTGTTGTTGTTAGTGCCTTGGCGTAACTGGTAAAGTTACTGTTATGTGACCAGGAGGTCACGAGTTCGGGCCGCGAAAACAGCCTTTTGCAGAAATGCAGGGTAAGGGTGTGTACAATAGACTCTTGTGGTCCGGTCCTTTCCCGAACCCCATACATAATGGGAGCTTAATGCATCGGGCTACCTTTGTTGTTGTTGTTGTTGTTGTTGTATATATCATTGTATTGGAAATTGTTTTCTTATTAGTACCAGAAAATGTGGGTTTTAATTTATGTTATATAACAGGTAGAGTTTTAGGCATATTCTAGTTACAAATAAAATTTAACTTTTGTGACTTCAGTTCAATAAATTTTTAGGTTGGTATTTAAGAAATTCACCCGATGAGTAAGATTGAGCTTGATTTGGTATTATAAAAAGCTTTCAGAATCATTAGGATTCTAATTAAATAAAATTAATTCTTTTTAATAAATTATATAACTAAATCCTCATAAGGAGAGGGAATCTATTCCAACTGGAGCGATCTTCATTTATCTCTAAAAGATGTTGGCATATTTTTTTTACCTGAGGGTAAGAAATATTCAAAAGATATCCGTACAAAGAACAAAAAGTAAAAGAAAATAACAATATGGAATATTTTTCTGCTTTAGTTGATAACTAGGGATTTTAATACATTTTATACTCCCTTTTGCTTAAGTTTAAATTAGAAATTTGTACAAAATAGTCCCAAAAGGCTCACAAGTTGTGCTTGATTACAGGTTTGATCGACAAAATGACAAGATGTCAAAGATCAACTCAATAGGAGTGAAACTTGCACAAGTATCAAAGACAAGACAAGCTCAGGCAAAGCAGACCCAGTGCGGTCGCACATTATTCTGTGTGGTCCGCACTCCAGAGAGGTTGATTTCCAGGCAAACATGCAATGCGGACGCACTAGGTTTTGTGCGGTCCGCACTGAAGGCAATGCGGCCGCACTCGATTTAGTGCGATCCGCAGAACCCAAGATCAGAGAGGTGCCAGATTTGAGGATTGAAGCCTATGCTGTCCGCGATCCATTTTATGCGGACCGCACTAGAAGCCTATGCGGCCGCAGTCCATTATGTGCGGTCCGCATTGCCCAAGTGCAGAGAGCTGTATTTTCAAGTTTAGAGCACTAGTGCGGCCGCACACCATTTTGTGCGGTCCGTACTAACCCCGCAAGAGCATTTTTGTCTAGAATTTTTAGCTTAGTATAAATAGCTTCTTTACCCATTTTTAGTGTATCAGATAGTTTTGTAACGTAGTTGCGCTCGTGGGTTCGACTTTCTGAGCTATTTTGGGCAATTTTATCTACTTTTCATCATTGAATCTTGTTATTTACCTTAGTGATTAATTAATATGAGTTGTTTTTCATCTATTTCTTGCTTTTCTTCTTTAATTATGAGTAGCTAGACCCATAAGCTAGGATTGTGGCTCAATCCTAGTGTGGGTAATTGATGAGTCTTGTATTTTAGGGCTAGATTGACTATGGATGTATGATATTTGGGCCAATTTCATGGTTAATTACTGAATTAGTGGTTGCAAATACTAGTTTGTGTTTAGTTGACTAGGGCTCTTCTTGAGAAAGAGAGCCTAAGTCTCCGAAATTGGTCCAACAAGGAATTGGGGCGTACTCGAGAGATTGATAGACCCAATTAAAGGGTTAAACCTCGAGAGAGTAATACCCGACTTGAACCCTAGTTGCTTGTGCAAATTTGCGTACCCAATTGGTCTTGAGAAAGTCAATTCGGGCAAAATCACTCGAACCACCGAGAAGTGTAGAGTGGGTAATATCGTGCAACGGTTATATCATACTCCCCAATTATGTCAATCGTGTCTTAGATTCAATTACCCGTCAATTAACCACCTAGGTGAAAGTCATTACCCTAGTGCCTTTTAAACCATTTGAACAACCCTTTTTAGTTTAACTCTTAGCTTAATCTAGTTGCATTTATCATTTGTATTTTGATAATAGTAGAAGTAAAAAGAAAACCCCAAAAATGAGTAGAAGTGTAATTTGGAATACATACGCAACTCTACACTAGATAGATACTCGATTCTAAATTCTAGCTCTCCGTGGATCGATCCCGACCTTAAATCAGGTAAAAGCTGCTCTGACTCTCTCTCGCTACTCAATAATAGTGCGGAGTAGGCCGCGATCAGTCGACACATGAACATGATCGAGTAACTAGATCTTCTCAGCTATTCCAAACAGTAGATTACATGATCACAGCCATCCTCTTATCATCAATTGATTCTTTCTGAGAAAAAGTGATAAGAAAATGATGGTCCTTTGCTACTTTGAAAGGCTAGTGAAAGAACAGCTTATTTGTTTCGACAAATGACTGCTGAAAAAGCTATATATATAGAGAGAGGGAATTGAAGGTTTTGTTTTCGGAAGGGTATTTCAGTGATTAAAAAACTAGCAGGAATTGTTCGCAACAAATTTTTGTAATACGAAAAATAAACTGCAACAAAAATAATATGAAGAAAAAGTAATTTTATTGATAAATATTTGTGAGTACAATTTTATGTATTCCTTGATTCTCCTCTCTAAAATTCTCCGCCAAGAACGTCGATCAACACTTTGTTGGTACGGGTTGATCTCCGGGAAGAACTTCGTTGATCACTCCTTTGTTGAAGAACTAAGCATTTGATGATTGATCTCTCTATTTGTGGATGCCTTTACCAATTCCAGAGTGTTCTTCTCCAACTCTGAATGTCTAGAGATGTTATGTAACCCCTCTATTTATAATTGTAGATGGATAGTCCAAATACATATGAACTCTCTTGCTTGATTCTGATTGGCTCATGTCATTTAGCCACTTGACGACCTGTGGTTGATTCTTGCTTTTTGACTTGGATTGCCACATCATTTAACGTGGCGTCATCTTTTTGGCTTGCAGTTTGACCAGATATGCCATGTCACTTGACACATGGCATGAGTGTGGGCCTTAAGATGAAATGGACCTTGGACTTGAAAATAATAAAAGGGACTAATTTAACTTGTAAATGCCAAATTAATTATTTAACCCAAATAAAACTAAGATTCAATCCAAATTTTGTATGGATTAAACTTTATAAATTTTATATGTCTACAGATGCCTCTTACTTCAAGTCTTATAGGGGTGTAGGCGTGCTGAAACGAACAACGAGACTTGAAGTACTAGTGAATGTTGATATTTTTTATTTCAGCACTTGTGGTGACTTCTACCGGTCAAATCTGAACTTTTATACAATTGCACATTTATGTGAAGTGCTAAATACAATCTCCAAGCAAAAATTAACCTTCCAATACTTTAGTTGTAGAACACGTGTGTGCAATGTAATTTAGTTTGGAAGTAGCAATTGTAAATAATAGTAATGGAAAACTCTTGCAAATTGTTAGACAATTTTCCATGTTAGTCCGACGTTTGCCCTCTTTCCTTTTTTACCAAAAGCAAACAAGGAAAAATATTTATTGACCTGGTAGGACAAGGCAACATTTTTTTTCCTTCTAGAATTCTAATTCCTTGTTTTGTTCACTTATAGCTCATACTTTGTAAGATCCCTATAAAAAGAGGACCAAACCAACTAGTTTTTCAACACAATTGAATATCAAGCTCCTTTGTCTAACTAGATCGAAGCACCAAAACTGATATTAGAGCTTCTTCCATCTTCACTTACTTTCACGAACTGCTTGCACTTGCCTTTTTTTTTCATTGCCTTTTTTATCTCCTTAATTTTTTTTCTTGAATCATGACTTGCTCTCTCTCCCTTTTTTTTTCTTATGCAGCAGATCATTCAATTTAAACAGGTAGAAAAGAGAACTAGAAGCAATCAAGCGCGCACCGTGCAATAACTTGGGGATGTAGTTGTGCTTCCTGTATTGCTTCTTTATTCAGAATTAATCCATATTGAAGGACTCCACCAGCATGAGAAGCCAAATTTGTAAACTTTGAGTAATGAAGATCGCTGTTCAAGACCAAATTTTTTTGATGCAAGTTAAAGATTCGTGCCATGGGCACCGATACCTGCCAAGCTGAACTAAACTGTTCTGCTGCTTCCGATGTCTTTTTTTATGTCAAATCGAAGCGCCATGGTGCTGAATCGTCGTGCTATTTGCACCGTATCTAGAAAAACTTCGTATTGTTGGCATCGAGGATTTCCAAATATTTTTCTTTTACAGGCTTTTGCGAGAGTACCAATGGTCTTTGATATCCTTAAGGAGATGCCAATATGATTTGCAGCAGAACACTTGTCTCATTGTTGCGGCCTGGCGAGAGACATATGAAGTGTCCTTTCAACCTTGGAGACAAAATCCCTACTCTTGGAGGCTTGGAGAGACAATATTTCATCATTGGCGAGCCAATATGTACACCACATCGCATCATTGCAGGTTAACGAAGAAGACAACTGGAGTAGGCCTTTCCAACTTCGACAAGCAAACCCTTAGCGCGTCTCTGTAAAAATATTTATTTCTCGATACAGGAGCGATAAAATCACAAGCCGTTTCTTTCTAAAGAATCATAACACGAGGGTATGGAACATATAAAAAATTTAGTATCAGATTCTTTGAGGATTAGCCGTAATAATATTTTGAAGCTGATAAGCGTGTCCAGCATTTTAACTTTACAACATTGTACAGTCTCGCCAAAAGATTGATATCTCGAGCTAAGAGTGTCTGAATCACGATCCGTTTGTGCCGTTGGAAAGAAATCTCTGACACCCGTCAATCTGAAAATTTCATAGCAGGATTTCTCTCATAATGGCTGCAATAATATTCTAAAGTTGCACCTGATGTATGCCGTACTTGCAATCTAGCTTTGCGCACTCCTGTTGAAAAATTTATATCTCGAGATAAGAGATTCCAAATTGCAATCCGTTTGTGTTGTTATAAAGTAAACTCATAGATCTGAAAAACATATGAACCCAATGGCAGAACTCATTTTGAGTTGGAAACAGAAAATTCTCAAAGTCCACTTAGCTGTAGTAACTTTCAGATTTGTGTAATTTCGG